ACGCTCAACAAGTTCCTCGTCCAGGGATCCTCGTCCTCTCTGGCCTTGGCCTGTCGGAGCGTCACTGCATGGATCAAGTCTTCTGATACTCGATCTGCTCCGCAGTCGGCCCCGCAGAGATGCACTCTCAGAGAACCTGAGGGCTGTCCGGTACAATGACGAAGCAACCCCTCCGAGTCGGTGCCTGTGGCCTGCAAGATGAGGTGTGTGGCATCTCTCTCCACTTCTAGCCCCTTGACCCCTCCGGCTACCCGACATGCGGCCCCGAAGTAGGACCCCTGTTGGATGACCACCTCGCTCTCCTTGGCAAGCTCGAGCACCGGCACCTCTCCTGCTGGCATAGTCTCCCCGCGCCTCCAACGCTCCTGAGGGGCAGGAGCGGGTCCTCCAGGGTGGCCAACGGCTGGATGTCGAAGAGCAACCTTTGCTAGAGCCCGCATAGGTCTCCGGATCCTCATTGCGCCTGCCTTGGCCTTTGCCAAGGCCTTCGCTTTGGCCTTGGCCTTCACTTTGGCCTTCGGTGGCATGGTGCCTACCGACGACGGAAGGGCCAATAACGGCCCCTCTCGCGGTGCTTGACTCCTTTTGAACCCCTTCGACGATGGGGCCTTCGCTCAATGGCGGGTGATCTGGACTCTTTGGCCTCCGTGGGGCCGGAGGTGGCGGTGGCAGCTCGTGGTGTGAGAAATGGCGGGCGACTGTGCCCTTGGGAGCTGGACGTAAGCTGAACCGCTGAGGTAAGGTGGCGACCAACTGATCCTTCTCCTCCTTTGTAGTTGCAAGTGTATCCAAGTTCAAATCAGTGCTTCCAGCACCGTCTGTTGCCTCCTCGTGCTTTTCAGCCTTCTTCTTCCTCTTGCTCTTCTCCTTCTTTGGGCCTGTTCCGCTGGAATGCTTACGCTTTCTCTTCTTCTTCTTCTCACCTGACGCCTCTGCTTTGCCCTCCTGTGCAGGTGGGCTCTTTGTCACTGTATGGACGGGGTCCTTCTCTTCTGTGTGCTCCTCCTTGGGTTTAACACCGAAGTCACCGGGTGGGGCCTCCGGAACTGGCTCACCTGCAGCCTCCTTGACCTCCTCAGGAGGCTTGACCACTGAACTAGGAGCTGAACCCGAGCTCCCGATGGCACTGCGTGCCGGAGAAGTGTCAAATCCAGCGGGGTTAGCCTCAGCACGCTCTTTTTTCAACAAAGGGATTGCCAGCTCAGTCAAGTCCTCGATGGCCCCACACGCAGTCCTCAACAACTGCACAACAGTATCCTCTTGGTTCCGTAAGAACCCGCCGGCCCGGAAGATGTTCTGGATCCGGCACAGGGTGCGACACCCCGGACAAATGTTCGGCCTTCCTTGCCAGAAGTGACAAGCCGTGCAGCTCATGCACAGCCCAGCAAGCTTCAAAAGCCGAAACACTGCGGGATCAAAACATGACCGTGCATCTTATAAACCGGGGGCGTTTGTACATATATGTCTGTATGTCTGTGTATTTGTTTATGTATATTTATGTATTTGTATATTTGTTTATTATAATGTGAGAATCGTTCGGGGACCGCCTCCTCCCACCCGCCGGGCGTGAGGCCAGCCTCACTGCATTGTCAGTAGTGACACCAGCTCCTCGAAAGGTGCCCACCAGCTCCACATCCACGGGAGTTCGCAAAATCCTACCGAGACAGAAATGCAGCTGCGCTCCACATTGTACTGTAATTGCAGCATCTCAGGCCAACTCCAACTTTAATGCCATTTGAATCCATCTGGGGAAAACATGGCGAAACTAGAGAACTTCAAATCCTATCGCTTCAATTGCGGGTAGATTTGTATATATAACTATATATATATATATAAAGGACCAAGGCCGGCTAAGGGACGACAAGTGTATCATGTAAAGTTTCGCGTGAAACACAAGCAGCTCGTTCATCCTTGATATCGGCTCACCCTGCCTGGCGCTGGCTTTCATCCTTGCTCGCTCCATGCTCATGCGCGGGTAGGTTTCTTTTGGAGCTTGCGAGCTTGCGCCACCCGCGCCTTTACTTTCTGATTCTGCGTGGTCACAAAGTAGCAAATACCTGCGTGGCACCCCGACTCAGCGCAAAGCAACATTTGCCTGGCTTGCATTGCTTGCATCTACTTGTCTTCGGATAGGGTCAATTGCCGTAAGAATATACTGAGATTGGCTAGCGGCTAGCAGGCTGTTTGTTGCAAGCGGATGCCGCTGGGCTCTAGCAAAAGAAAACAAACTTCACTGACTGACTGCCAAACAGTCGGCTTTGTGGCTTTGTGCATTCCAAGTGCCAGCTGCTGAGAGCAAAGCCAGCGCCAAGCCGGTGATTATGAGGACCACCTTGGTGCAGCACCAGTCCGAAATACTGAGATCAAATGATTCTGGAAGGAGACATGATCTGGTTTGGGAGTCATTCCATCCCAAAGTCAGAACTGGGACACACGGAAAGTCCGCCTGTTCGCAGCCAAAGACTGGATGAAACGGATGCCCCAACACGGTTCCCTTCACCACAGCACGCCCAACGCCAAGCCAATTCCAAGTCACATAGATTGTGTCTAGGTTGTCGCAATCAAGGCAGCACTCATAAAAGCTCGCATAAAGAAGATCCTGGGCAGTTGTCCAGTTGTAAAGCTCCAAAGACGACAGTTTGGTTGATCTAGCATGCAGCATGGTGGACTGTTTGAAGCCATGGGCCATCATGGGAGCAACATGGCAATGGCAATGGAATATTCTGTTCAATGGTACGGTCAGCCAAGGAGCACTGCAGCCAGTGATGTTGTCCATGCAAGTCTCATCTTCACAACCTAAAGCTGAGAGTCGTAGGGAAACAAACAGTGTCTTCATGTGTCTTTCCCAACAATGCCTAAAGTTTTCAACTTGGAGGTCGTGGGCGTCGGAGTCCAGCTGTACAAACACACCGCTTAATTCACTCGTGCTGCATATCTATGAACCGGGAGTCATTAGGGACTAGTGACTAGGCTAGCCGTGTTCGTCTGTGAAAGGACACGGTGTCCGGCGCCGTCAGCGTGGGGTCCCATCGACCAATGCCGCGCCGTGCAACTCATGCAACCGAAGCATTCCGTCTCATTGGACATCAGGTTGGCGCATGCGTTGGAGAAGGTTTCCTGGGCCAATGAGGTCGCTGAGGGGAAGAAGCCTTTTGGCCTTAGAATCGATTGGTTCTTTTGTTAGGTGTGCTCGTGGTGGGTAGTAGGGTACTACTACAATAAACGTATAGATAGACCGCACAAAGATGTATGAGCCTCCTGCGGTTCAGCGTGTTGTAGATGGATAGTAAGGTGCTGCACTATGCTGCACTGCGCAGGACGTGGCAAAAGCTGCGAATGAGTTTCTGCAAATAATCCATCCTAATCAAATCTTAGTATGATCTGGCTGATCTGGACTTGATCTTGAAAGAACTTGATATTAAAGTTACATGAAAGGCCTTGCAGCAGGACACCATAAACAAAACTTTCTGATGCAACGAAGCTGCGTCGGTCTCTGCGCTACACGTGCCTCCATCTGCAGAATCATAGAAGGTCCTTATTTGCAGTTCCACGTGATGCGGGAATTCGGCAAAAACATGCCATTGCTTGTCGTGAGCTGGAAAATGTAGCCGACGTTCTCAAAGATTGACTCACAACCGCTCTTTTTCTGCTGAACGTTTGCGCAAATCCAGCCTCCGAGCTTTAAAATCATAAGAGACCAACCTAGTTGATGGACCAAATCCTGCTTTTTGCTGAAACAATCTGAAGCATGAACCGGAGACTTCCCAATGTTTCGCTGTGTCCAAGTCTCGCAGCGCGCCGCCGGCTGCCGAAATGCTTTAAGACGATGACACTGTACTCGCGCCTCGCCAGCAGATTCTGGAGCGTGACTCTGATGCTCCGGAAAGCGACACGCTTTATCAATGTCGGACCATACGGGCACCTCTATTCGAAAGCCTAACTTGGAGGTCGCCGGAAAGGAGACTGATTGCCCGAAAGTAGCATCAAGCATCCCCAGTTCATACGCCTGCGCTACACTAGGTGTGTGGGGCAGGGATGGCTCTCCTGCGTATGTGTGCACCGTCTCAAGAGCTTGCGCTACAATGTAAGGGTTTGTCCTCCCGAGTGTCGAAACCAACGCTCGACCCGGCATGGCCGGACGATTCAAGGTGCTACTTATATGATATGTGCTTGTTATTGTATGTTATTGTTATTCCTTGTGCAGACTCAAGCAGTGTCACCGAAAACCCTTTGGGGCATATTAACAGCTCAGGACAGCCTTCAAGCAATGACATGGCCTCGACGGGTGTCTGTATCAGTCAGCATGCATCTTAAACTCGGACAAGAAGCGGATCTGTGTAGTTGTGGCGCAACGCATAGGCAGAGTCATTACCTTCAAAAGGGCTACTGCATGACCGCATGCAGCGACGGCCATTGACTGCAAGACACTACCGTGATCCAAGCAGTGCGAGGAAGAAATGCAACGACATAAATGGATAGGCCAAGGCAAGTAGACAGACACGACTCGACGGAAATGGATGTTCTGTTCTGCCTGCGACTCGTGACTAGTCGGCGCCTGTGCCCAAAATGCCACCAGTGCCACCTTTTGCTCTCCCAATCAATGGAAGAAACAGCAGCAAAGCGGCCCATGGCGGCGTACGCATGTGATTTTCGGGTCACTGTCCCAATTATCATTTAGTTGCAAAGGTGTCCATGGTCCGACCATTTCCCTGCTGGGTCCAACAAGATGCCTGTAACCTACCTCTCTTAGCAAAGTGAGGTGCCGAAGGGCTTCCTAATTTTCCAACTCAGCCACGTCTCCCAATCATTGGAACTTCTGGAGCCTGCTTGAAGCCAAGCTATCAACGGTGATGGAGACTCGACGAAGTCATGGCGCAAAGCAACACCAGTCTCATCAGCGATCTATCCTCTAAATCTGACTACCAGTACTGAGGGTTTGCATGAAGGGCTTTGCAGTGCATCATCCACGTTTGAGACATCAAAGCCAGCGAGCTCCAGGCCACAACTGCAGCTCTTCCCAGGGGGTGCTGCGTAAAACCACAAGCGCCTCTTTGAGCTCTTGAAACGTACAGCCCCTGCACAGGTAGCAGGAATGCAAAGGTCTCAGGAAATGAACAAAATCACGTACTCGTACCTGATAGTTATACATATATATGTGATTATATGTGTATAAAATTGTATATATACATATATGTATGTATGAATATATACTAGGTACTAGCCTTTATTAAGTCGACTCAGCTTGTGTAAAGTCGACTCGGAACCGTGTGCCCTTGCAGAACTGCACTTCACAGGCATTAAAAGCAAGGCAAAAATGCCAGCCATAACACAGTGTGCGTGTGCACGTTTCCTTGAACATGTCGCTTTCGTGCCATGCTCATTTTTCAATTGTGCCCATTGTGCTTTGACCAAAATGAGTCGACTTCACGCGAGTGGGTTGACTTCTCGCTGGAACCTTGTGCCCATGCAGTGAGTTGACTTCACGCGACGTGGGTTGACTTAAGTACGCCACTTGTATGTGTAATATGTCTTTGAATACTTATGTACATTAATATACAGTAAGTCTCATTAGCTTCATGGTACTACTATATGTGCTCAAACATGCTCAAGCCTTCTTGGCTTTGGCACCTCCATTTTGCAAAGCAAAGGCATCAAAGTCACACTGCGACGAAGGCAATTAGCCACTGCTCAGGAGTCTGACACACTGTGGAAGAATCGATTCGCACCGCGGGCAGCGTGCGAATCGAGATCAAAGACCGTGGTGTCTTCCGGCCTTCGGAAGATCGTGGGGGAGAACATCTTGTAAACCTTTTGTTGCACTCTTTCCTGTCCTTCATGATGTGGAAGCGCTCGTGCGCTCTCCGCTGCACCTTCACGAAGCAGCTTAAATGAGATCGATCGCCCAGAAGGGAAGGGAGGAGTCTGGAAAATGGACCTATGCCACATGCATGCCATCATCTTGAGCTCAAGCAACCTCTGACAGTAAACTTGTGCCAAGGAACTCGGTAGCTGTAGCTGCTTGGCCGTGGGTGTGGTCGGAACATGCTCACCCTGCAAAGGCGGCAGTCGAAACTGTCTGCTCAATTGTTTAAGTTACAGTCGTACTCCACCCATTGTGGCGGCATTTGGTGCAGCACCTGTTCATCTTTACCTTCCATGGCATTATAGTGCCAATCTCCGCAGTTGAAATCCCTGCTTGATAGAATGTCAAGACATGTCAAGAACACGTCCAGAAAAGAACTTATGCCAAGCAAAATGGCATCGAGGGATTCCAATTCTTTCCGTGGGAGGCTCGAACTCCCTTCAGGATTCATGACAAGATGCTTCAAATGCCATTGTTTGCGATTCCTCCAAATGCACGAAGTCCTGAAAAATAGCACTGAGCCGAATTGAACGAACCGTAGTTGGTGACGAAAACCAGCAGTCTGGTATGGTCTGGCCAACTTCCCCTCAGCAGGTCTTGAGTAAAACCTATCATTGGGACCTTTGGAGAGCCTCTCTGAGTCTCAATCCTGACAAGTACAGCAACCCAGCTCCTCAGGCTCAAGAGAGCGGTCTTCCTTAAGCAAACGCTGCTGGACTGCGTGGCAAAGATCCCAGTGTCCCCAGCTGATGACGGCGTCCTCAAGCAGTTCACTTTCTATTTTGGGATCACCCTTCCTCGAAAGTAGTTCAGTTCGCAGATCACAGGGAGTGCTGGGATCTTGTGCTCTTTCATCAAGCGACTTGTCATGAAGCAATCTGGGGGGGTCTTTGCTCTAAAGTCAGCGCTGCAAATCATGCCCAAATCATGCTCCGTCGTGGCAGTTGGCCCTGCAAAAAGCCAACACACATCCATTCAAAGTCTTTGACAGGATCTATGCAACATGAATCTAGTGCTGATGGACGGACCAACTTTTATAGTTTCGCTCAATTCTGTCCAAGTCACCTTCTCACTGCGCAGCTCCTCTTGCAAAGCTGGGCCTGAGCCGATTAATAGCAATATCTGGAACACCAGCAGTGGCAAAAGCACCTCAAGCACAAAGCTATCAGGGAATCCGGAGTGCATAGTACAAACCAGTCATTTACAGTATTGAATTGGTTTTTAAGTTATTGGCTATGGAACATCTTGTCATTGATGCTTTGGCAGCAGTGCGGCAGCAGGTTTGTTGTTTTGCCTTGTTGGATCGCATCTCACAATGCAAACCGCGCCTCCAGGCACCACCTGCCCAAGCACCGCAGCTCGCAAACGCGCCTCCTGGAGATGAAACCAAGAGATTTGGAAAGCTTCCGTCTCTCTCTCTCTCTCTACTATCAAGCGTGCAGGTAATGTAAACGAAGCGACTCCTCTGCCAGCTTTGCTATCACGAGCAAATCGCGTCTTCGATTCGCTTCCTGCCAAGCCTTGGAAATCCATGCGCACGCTGCCCTCATTGCCAAGCCCATCTGCTCCAATTTTCTCAGAGTCATCAAGTTTGGAATCTGATAGGCAAACAAGACAAACAAAACAAGAGCAGCCGAAGCGCGTGCTTATCAACCTCCTGTGGGTCATCATCTTGAGCATCCCTGCTCTGTTCAGCCGCAATCCTGAAACAAGGGACAACATGCGGACAGCTTCAAAGCAGCAGCCCACAGTCCACAGTTCTGTGAATCGCCGCGTCCATCAGTCCACCTCTCAGCTGTACTCCGTCTATGTTGCTGTATTCCTTCATCGCTGTCTCGTGTGGCTGAGAGTCAGGAAAGTTGCTCGCACCACAAAGTCCAGCAGTAAAGAGCTCATCACGGCAGAGCTTTTGGCAATGTAGGCCACGGTGAAGAGGATCTCCCTGCGAGGTTGTCACTAGTCAGCCCTTGCACGGGGCACAACCGTTAGATATCCAATGCAAAGCAAAGGTGACCGTGAAACGTTAAATTTTTGTAGTTGCATGGCTGTCCCTATTCGAAGAGGTGGAGCTAAGTGTGGCTGCCAAACTAGAGACAAACAAATCCCCTGCAGCTCCTTGCCACAGCCCTTCGCTGTTGCAATGAGACCTCAGGAGTTCAGCTTCCCTTTTCACAAACTGGGGATCTGCCGTTGAAATGGCTACTCGGCAAATATATGCAAATATGCTCAACTGCAAATTGGCGTTAGATGTTTGAACATGTGGCCCTTGCGGCCCTTGCAGCCGCTTGAATCAGTGGACCAAAGAAACACAGCCGGTCTGCACCATTCTGTACCCCATCTTGGGAGCTAATTCGCCCTAAAGGCCGTTTCTGAGGCTCCAAACCCAGGTGAAGTCCTTCAAATGCCTTGGCACCTCTGAGAGTTTGCATCTCACCTGCCGCATATGCGATGTCCACTGTGAGGCCCTTCCGGCCTCAAAGCACGATGTGCAAAGAAAGAACACCAGTGGACCAACCAGTGCTGCTGAAATGATTGGTAATTGTTTCATGTTGCGTTCATCTGAGTGGGTGGTTGAGTGGCTGGCTATGGGTTGGTAGTTTGCGAAGACCACGTCGCCCAGTCCCCCAACTGATGCAAACAAGGAGCCTCACCCAGTTGCCGGCCGATGGGCAAATGTGGAACTGGGCATCGCCCAGCAGCACTGCCCAGCACCGAAACAAAACGATGGGCCTTGGCGTCTCAGCCGACATGGGGAACGGTGCCGGTGGCCTATGCCAGCGGCCGCCGGCATCGATGGGTCACGTGGCGGCCTAGGCCATGTTTTCGATTGACGCTAGGGCCGCAAGGAGCAGGTAGGCTTCGAGAGTATTGATTTCCTCTCATCTACATTCATTTGAATCTATATCATTTACATGTGCAAGGACAACCGTCCGCAACACATGCGGCCAAGACTCGTTGTCATATGCGACGTATGGCTGCCCCGCACTTTGCCGGTCCTTGATGGTCACAAGTAGCTTGGTGAAGCGTTTGAGGCAACCTGTAGGGCGGGTTGACGAGCATTTCTTTAACTGCTCAACGATGAACGTTTTAAAACGGCATGAAACGGCCAGATTTCAATCGACAACGGAAAGCAGTCGACATTCAAGCCGACAAATATTTAAACATAGGGCATTTTATCTGGAAGTATGCTTAGTCAAAACCAAAATGTCAAAGCACATGCCAGAATGGATGCGCATGATGTTCGATCCCAAATGCTCCTGAAATCTTCTGAAACTATCTGAGACTACCTGTTGCGAAACCTCCTCTGTCACACCGTCCTCGCCTCGGGTGCCCTGTTCCCAGCGCTTGAACGTCTGCGCATCGGCGGCAGTTAAACGGATGAGCCCCATGGAGAAGGCCACAGTTGCAACGTAGAGGACCTTGCTGGTGGAGTTCACCATCGTTTGGAGTGTCTAATTAGATGAAGAGGGAAAAAAAACCTAACCCAATAGCAACTCTAATAGCAATGGCCTCCAACCTAGCAGTGATGGCCTTCAACCTCATAGCGATGGCCTCCAACCTAATAGCCATGGCCTCCAACCTAATAGCCATGGCCTCCAACCTAATAGTCACGGCCTCCAACCTTTGTCTTTAAAGATCTTTCAAGTGAGATTCCTAAGGGTTCTGAGCTTGGAGTAGCTCCCCCTGTGAAAGGAAAACCCCAAGGTCGAGACGGCTGAGACCCCCCTAATCGTAGGTCTGTGTCATGCAATGGTCAAAAATGTCAAAGGAATCGCAAGTTATCAGCGACCACTGCAACCACGTGTCCGTGGGTGTTCTGAAGGAAGCAAAGAGTCAAAACACTCTGGGCACTTCACTGCTACGCCATCTTAGGCTCCCACGTGCAACACTGCTACCGCAATAACCTGAGAGGGTGGAAAAGAAAAACAGGCTCCATCAAGTTAAACGTCGACAATCGCTGCATACTGAATGGAATGCTGAGAGTTGGGCCGAGCTAACAGCTCCAAAAACAGCCAGGTTAGTAAGTTAGGATATCAACTTTTGCAGCCAGGATTTCGTTCTGGCTCTTGCCAGCAGAAATCCACGAAACCGGCTGATAGAACGAGCATTGACCTTCATCGAAACAATGTCCTTGCAAACAATTGAACACAGGGCTACTCCTGCCGAAACAGGCCGTTTTTCAAGGCATTCCTGTCACCTGCTGTTAAGAGACTACCCCAAAGGGCTGCAACCAGCCCTGTGCCGTCATCATGCACAGTGAGGAGGAGATCAATAGCACCAAAAGCTGCTTCATTTCCAAACCGGTCCTTAGTCGGCAAAAAATGCGTGGAATGTTTTGTCGGAGTCGTATTTCTGGCAGCTAAGGGAGAAGAATAGTTGGCTTATCTCACACCAAATGTACATATATAAATATAGTGTACTATATCTAATCTATTGTCTGGATATTGTATATTATGTGTCACATCTGCCCCATCAAGACTCTTCAGGATGCAAACTCATGATCCACATGCCGCCCTCCCCTACAAAGAACATTTAAAAGCATCAAAAAAAAAGGCACTGTGCGACAAGCACGTACATTCCGCACTCAGCGGCAAAAGGTCCTCAAAGCGCTGATCGCTTGGCTTCGCCGTAACTTGGCCAATGAGCGCAGCGAGTGCAACCTGAGCTTGTCTGTGCCCAGTTCTGGGAAAGCAAAGTTGGAAGGACATGTTGAAATCCCTTGTTCGCAGCTTCCGAAAGACACACCTGCTGCCTGTCACTATTTCCTCAACAAATCGACAGGGACAATTGGACGAGCTACGCAAGAAATGAAGAAGTACCGCTGTAGTGGTGACAAAGGAAGCACCTGTGATTCAGCGGCATTCAATGCCACGGTGATGTGCTCACTTTGCGGTTGCGCCTCTGCTATGATCAGGAAGAACTTTCGCAAGAAAACCACCACCTGAATCCAACGCTGAAGAGCCAAGCAGAATCATGCATGTTTGTTGGAAGCCAAGCGGCCAAATGTCCAAATGTTCATAAATGTTCTATAGATTCTGGATTGAGTAGGCCATTAGCCACGAATGATCAGGGTAGCTTTCTGATTGTTGGACAGCTCGCATCGTGCGGCATACAGTGCCTCCCACCACCAGCATGAGTTGTTGTAGCCCAAGAGCATTATGCCGTAGCGCCTGCAAAGCTAAAGCTTTGGATGTCCACATCCGGTGAACCGTTGGTTAAAAATTGTTGAATGCCACCTCCCAAACAAAGCAACTCCCTGCCCTCTCACTCTCTACGAACAAAGTATCAAACGACAAACGCACAAAATACCTCTGGTTAGCAGGTTCATCTGCCAGAAGAACAAACTGCCTTCTGAAGGCTGCTTCTTCCATACCATTCTTGCGGCTGCGGCACATCTGCCACCTGCAAAGCAATGTGAATTTCCGTGTTGTCATTAGCAGCTGTCACATGATGTAGCAGAAATATGCATAACTTGCCAAATTACCAGCACAAGAATGGCCACAATGACCAAATCAGTGCACCAAGCGCGGCCAAATAGTGCAAACTCTGCCTGGGACTTCTTAGTCGACGCGACCACGGGTCCAAAGTGCATGTAGAATTGAGAAGAAACTAGTTATTTATAAATTATGTACTCTGTTTACGTCTATATATAGATATTTATATATATATGTAGAGAGAGAGGACATTTGATTCAATTAGTAAGTATGTCCACCTTTCAAAAGCAACACCTTCATTGACAATCAGGCATGGCCAACAAAAGGTTGCCTTTCCATTCCGCCTCATCTTTCGCCTTCACACCTTTCTGGGACAAGGCTACCATGCTACCAAATTGCCTGCTTGATCATCATCATCTCAAGCATTCACCAATTCTACTGTTGCTGAGGCACGAGGGGCTGCACTCGATGGCGCCACTATAGTAGAGCACCTTGTCCATTGGTGGCTGGGAGGCAAGAACTAGAATCTTGAATGAACCTGACAGCTTTTTTTGGGGTGTATGTTTGTATATTAAATGTGTATATTAAGTTCAAGACTACTGTTACTGTTTAGCATTGAATGAATGGTGGAATATTCACACGCTTACATAATTATAACATATAGACTAGTTATATACAAAATAGATTGGGTGTGTGATAGAATCAAATCAACATGTGGAAACTTTGTGTGCAGTACTTGCCTGACTATTGCTTGCCTTTCACTCCGCCAAGGCACTACCTGGTCCGGCCCCGTCTGGCCCAGCTCCTGACAGTATAGGCTTTGGGAAGCCCTCCGTGCTGCAGGGAAGGACAGGCAGTACCTGGGTCAGTGAAGGAGCAATTGTGGAATTTCCACCTACTAGGCCAGGAGCTACTAGTAGCTTCTGGTTCCTCGTAGTAATGCACTTGTTACTAGTAAGGCTTGTGGATCATTTGATTGAGGACTTGTCCTGTCCTTACTAGTATCACTGCGTTGATTTCCGGGGGCAGTCATGGGGGTCGATCGAGGATTCAGGATCCGGGTGGTGTGACCTCTCAGACTACATTGACCACATGGGTTTGCCTTCATTCAGGTGTGAGGCCTGAAAATGACGGCCAACCTTCTCATTGGGAGTCGTCTCATTTACGGGCCAATGCGCTGCAGCAGCAAGCCGGTGTCATGATGCTGTGGGCCCTATAAAACAAATCCTTTGCGTGCAAAAGCTAAGTTCATTCCAAGGTGCAGCATAACCATGCGCAACGGTTCTGTCTCCGACCAGAAACGCAAAAGGTCGAGATGGTTGAGGAGCCGCGGCAGGAAAAGCAAGGGGCTCACCAAACAGCAGCCTCTGGTTGACGCTCATTCGTAACTGCTCGGTTTGAGTGTCCTACTGTGTCTGGTGTCAAGGTTGAATGCAACCCTTGCGCAAAGAATTGCAAGGAGTTTTAACATGCTGAAGCCCATGGAAACATTGCCAAACAGATTTAAAAAGAGCAGTATGTCACCAACAACTTCTATCAACTTCTAACCCATGTCACATGTCGAGGACAAGGCCTGTACAATGTCCGGGTGCCACCAAGTTGCCAATGCTTGCCAGCAAGCCTCGAATCCTAAACTCGAGCAGATCAAGAAGCCAACCACCCACAATGGCATGGTTTAGTGAAGTCCAAGAGTCTTTGGCTCGGCTTTGGTCCAGTTTTCCGAGTGCATCAAGGGCCAAGAAAGACCCCAAAGCCTGCGGGCCAAGAACAAAAAACATGTAGATATAGGGGCTCGCTCTCCCCCAAGTTGGTTGGCACGATGAGAATCGGCTTGCTGGGACGACATCGTCTTGATTCTGCATAAAGTTTCTCGGTATGGTTGAGCATAGTTGGGCAAGACAAGAGCTAACACCTTCTGCAAACCCCGCTGAAACCCAGAACAAAACATGACAACACACCTGTCCAATAATGTCCAGGGATCTTCATTCAAGTCCAACAGTTCATGCAGCTGTCTAGTTGTCCGATTGCACATCCCTGTCCTCGTCTGTGAAATGGCCATAAAGCGTTCCAACACCTCTGGCTCGTACAAGCTTGTTGCGTCCCAGCCAAAGAAGTAGATCTCAGAAACGGAGCTCCAAAGCAATCAAAACTTGGATGAGCCTCTGACCTCCCCCAACCCAGTCTTGGTGCACGCTCGATAGGGTGGTCTGTCCTGGACCTTTAGAACGTTGTAGAACTATGAAGGCTTTATAGACTTGCTTGGATGGCTCGGAATCGCGCAAAATTTGAGAGGCTGAATTCAGCACCTTCGTGGCAAAGTCGGTGATGGGCTGCCAGTGCTGAGCATGTCTGGCCATGTAGAGACCTTACTTGCGGTCGAAGAAGAAGTGAGGCTGTCGTTCAGAGTTGGAGGAACACACCCGCTCAACATCAGCACTGTGCACTGACTGGCTTGAAACATGGTCCTGCTTCTCAACTTTGAGCTGGGTGAATTCTTCTGTTGGTCTGAGCGAAAACGTCCAAAATGCCAACAGGTTGCGAAGCCAAATCAACAACAGAAGACAGGGAAGCATCGCTGCCGCCAACGGAAGCAAGGCCCAAAAAAGCAGTAGGCGCAATGCTGTATTGTACTGGTAGGACGCCTCAACCCCGCACAACTGCAATCATTCTCAACAAGCCGCGCATGGGCCTTCTGCGGTTCCCAGCCCAAATTGATGAACTATGGTAATATTGACTCATTGAATCAGGGAGTTGTTCAAACCCAAGAGTTTGTTTGGCACTGGCGACGGCCTTTCACTTGCCTCACACGTGTCTGGAGTCTATGATCTATCACCAAGTGACCAAAGCAGCACGAGCTTGAGCCAGCGCAGTGGAATAGTAGGCCTTGGATCCGAAGTGGTGAGTGACCAAAAGTCAGCACAAAAAGGGCCGAAAACAAATCTCTGCGACTTTGATGGCCCTACCTTTGCCATCTCAAATGCAGGTGTCCATATAGTGTCATGATCCGACCAACATGGATTGGAGATGAACATGGCACTTGGGCGGTATATGGAGTAACTCCTGGGAATGATTGACTAGTTTGCAGTCCAAGTGCGACCTGTGGAACACTTGCCAAATGTGCAAAGGCATCCTGTAATGCCTGCCATCTGCCAACACTCTCTCTCTCTCTCTCCCTGATAGATTCAAACGCTGTGACGCTATGACAGGTCAGGTAACAAAAAAAAGCAAGATCTCCAAAGCAATATATTATATAGCAACATGCCCAGCCAGTGTCAAACATGTTAAGGACTCGGCTCTTTAGCATACTTAAAGTATACGGCATACGGGCTTTCTTTATGGAATTGTTTGTTTACATAAATGATGCTGCATTGCCGGCATTGCCTCTATAAACATGCACCTCCGCAAATGACCAATTCCACTGAATATGGGGCATCCATCTATCGTTCACCTGAAGGAAAAACATGACCAAGTGCACTAGACTCATGGTGAAGCCACTGGCTTCATCTTTCTGACGGAATGTCAGGGCCAAGGATGCCTAGTTCAGGTGCCAGGACGCCTGATTTTTGGACACACGAGGTCGACGAGGCCAATCGGAGGTGGCCGGGATTTCACTTGATGTGTACTTTGATATACTTTGCTGTTTTGGCTCTCCACCCTTGTCCAAAAGTAGCACAGCCCTTGTTTAAATGCAAGAATGATCTATTGCAAGGGTGAGCCCGAAACAACCGACATATCTTTAGCCCAAAAACGTCGACAGCTAACAAGTAACAAGCCTCCACAGTGTCAAAGTCACATCATTTCCAGCCGAGGGTTCGAGCACGAACTTATATAACACCAAACTCGATAGCAGCAACACTTCCACGTTTGCAAAACTTCTCCCAAACCGCACCTTTGTGCGCCACGGCTGCAGTAGGCAGGGCAAGGAGAAGAGTTCGTTCTCACACGGTGGTGCGCCATCCTCGCGACGCAACGAACATCACACACACAATATGCCCTTGCTCACAGCCTTAGCCTCCTCCTGGACAAAGCATAGCTTTCTAAAGCCAACGCCCAGCAAACTAGAGATTCAGGAAATAGTTACGGCAACAAACAATTCCACATGACATCTGTTCAGTCTGAGTATCTGTAATCATCAGGTAGCTGATGATCCTGCAGGACGGCATCGCATGCTTTCTCATTTCACGTGGATGGTCTCTTGTCAATTAGATCCCTCAAAGGTAAACATGTTCCCTATTCACTCACGAGAGTCACTTAGAGTGGCAAAGCGTTGAGACACTGCACAGAATGGCATGATTGACTTACTCATGTGTTTGAGGCAGTGCGGTTTCTTGCAGATTTGGCAGGGATGGTGAATGCGTAGTTCATCCATCCCCCTACTCTGAGATGGTCATGGAATCTACTATTCAGGGTTCTGATTCTGCACGCATATCTAGCCAACAAATTGAACATGACAATTGTTGAACATGGGGCGTGTATCAGCGGCGTGTGACACAAACTTGCATTCCTGGTGTCACATGCAAGTTAAGCAGTCAAGACCACCCATCTTCCGGAATTGCTGTGGAGGGGTGTCCAAGCCATGGTCGAGGCGCAGCTCCATCAATCCACTTTGTGCAAAGCTGCGGAAGAAACAGGACCTGCAGGAGATGACAAACAAACAACGGTTGCATCTTGGGGGAAAACATCTGTTCAAAATGGATGCTGAACATGCTGGAGTTAAATCTCGTTGTGAGGAGATATGAGGAGATCTGAGATATTAGTCAAAGTCCGGCAGAGCTCCACATGCATGTGAAACACAACTTCTTTTCAGTAGTTCGAGTTCTTCATGATGTTCTTCATGCATCCATTCCGCATGCCCATGAAATTGGACCCCGTGAAACAGCCCAATTCGGTGGTTTTCTGCACTAAAAGCTGTGCACACACAAGCACGCGTGCACATGGTGGTTTTCCCAAAAATCATGCCTAGTCAAACAGCAGTATACAAACAAACAACACGAACAGCATGATCTACACACGCTACAGTGCCGCTACAGCTACTTTAGGGCCACCCTCATCGCGAACCTTTTGCGCATGGCTTGGGCAGCATCCGAAAGGTTGTTTTGTATAACCTCCTTTCACACCCCTTTAGATCAACTCCCATCTATCCATACATACTCATACATATGCATACTTACAATTGAGAGAACAGCTCAAAAAATAGTTTACAACATGTGTCAGAACACCGCTATGATTGGCTGCAGTAGGACGACCCTTGCCATCTAGGTGTGAGAACAATATTTCGGAAGATCTCTCTGCAAGTGTGTGGAAGATAATTCGATCATGCAAGCCAAGTCGGAGGGCTCTAGCATGCTCTAGCTTCCATAAAGCCCAACTGCCCATATTCTCGGCTCAGCTGCATCAACACACTCATGCTTGCACAGTGATTCAGCAGCATCTTCCTGGGGCCAAGCAGCAGCAATTGATGCTAAACAACGAACAGTATAATGAAGCAGCGAATTTGTAAAGTGAAACCAGTGTCTGGTGGGAGGCCATTCTCAAGCATTACCTCCCCTGCTGCCAGGCCGCATCATGATCAAGTAAGGCTGTGAAGCACTGGATGCCTTGGCGAAGGGAGAAGTGCCAAGGTTTGACCTCTTCAACGCTGGAGTCAAACCAATTGGATTCCCCCTCTACGCCCCCTACCTTTCAATAAATTTCAAGAGGCAAAAAGCGACCAGCACAAGGTGGCACCCGTGGCCAACAAAACCGTCGGGCCAGAATTTCAATCAAAGATCATGCCTCCTTACTACGTACACTTCTATGAACCGAAATCGCGGTATGATGCCTGCTGCTCCCCCATGAATTGAGGTGGAACGTGGTGCGAGAGTGTCTCGTGGACTGGGCGAAGCGGAGGGATCGTTGGCAATTGACGAGAAGGCAAACTGTCAAGCCCTTTAGTTCGGAGTGCTTTCAAATCCACCATGAAAATTCAGCCGTCTTCAGCTGTTTCTTTGGATGGCAGGAGGCAGATGTTGCCAGGAATACGGCAAAGGAGGTGTACACCACCTGGCTGACAACACTTCAAAACCCTTGGGATGCTGAGTGATTGTCCCCTCCGATAGCTCATGGAGCCTCCGATATGACCTCCACATCACTGGGCACATCTCATCCTTCGTACTTCGATCGGCCGTATGGCCAAACAAGCCAGAGTCTCCAGGTATAGGAGAGTCAGGACAATGCCAATGGCCACGTAGAGCTGCCAGCTTAAACACCTGACAGATTGGTGGGTTTGGCAATGTACACGTTGAACATTCATCCTTCCACCCTGCACTATTTTCAAGGGCAGTGTGATCTAAAAGAACATGTGATGTGCATGCAAGCAAGCCGGGATCCTAGCAGAAGCATAGATTAACCACGAGCCGACCCAACTGCGCAAACATATGAAGCTGAGTAGCTGATAGCTGGAAGGAGCTCCACCTGGGCAGCTGCAATGTGACACTCACCGCAACTACACAAAATCCACAAGCTATAGAAAAAAGACAAACGAGAGAACAAAAGGCTGGTAAAGCCAAAAGGGTCCTTACCTACAGTACCTCTTTTCATCTCATTTGTCCTTCTGTTCTGGTTCATTGAGTTTGTCAAGAACCCGGTGAACACAACTCAATGCAAAGTCCACAACTGTCATTCCGGGCAGGGGTCTTGACGCCGAGCGGCTAAATCCACCAAGAAGAGCAATGCATTGGCGCCTCAGCCGGTCATTCTTTGGGCTTGCCTTGGCCATCAACCTTTTAGCAAATCATGGCGTATCCAAACCTCACCACAGGACATCAACCTCTGAGCATGACCAAACCAATTTGGATGCAAATTCAATCTCATGCAGCCAGTATGTCAGAAGCTCATGCCTTAAGAAACCCTGTTCTCTTTGGGTCCCGTGGCTGTGTATTTTCACACACACGTCATGGAGAATTTTCACACGCGTCATGGACATCCAGGATCCGACCAGGGCCCTGGCCCTGTGTGACCTTCTGCACACCGCTCCGTTAAGCAGTCCTGTAGAGGCTCTTCAGTGCTCTCATGGACACAGGGTAGTTGACTGGGCCGGCCTCAAATGCCCCAGCGCCACACGAGCTACCAAGGTGCAGTATCACTTGATCGCACCAACGACACTCTAAATACATCTAAATACCCAAACTGATTGAGAGCCCAAAGCATGTGGCCTCTTCTCTCAAGCAACGCTCCATCTCCTGGGCTTGCTAACAGGCAGCCCATTGTGACATGGTAGTGATTCTAGCGATCATTATGTTGTTATTATACTAGGGGCACATGGGGAAACATGTGCATGGAACATTTTGGACAAGTGTTGCAGCTTTTGGAAAACCCCTCTTGCTTCATGCGCACAGGAAGGTTACAGGAAGTAATTGCTCAGATCCGGGGCCCAAGTGACGCAACTGTAGGTTCTGAAAACAAACCGTGGGAGTCATCTGGACTATGCCGGAGTTGGGGTCAAACTGTCATCATACCATGTGTTCAATCTCACCATTCCTAAGTTTTTGCAGCACCAACGGCAGCCAAGGCTCGAAGCTTTTCAGGTCAGCAGCTGCCTTCGCTAAAGCTTTCTTGAAACATATGCTAATTATATTTATATACAACTGACATTATAATATATAGTTAGTAGTAGGTAGTAGCTAGTTGATGTGGGCATGTCAGGTGTGCAGCTCAGCAGCCCAAATTGCATAGTAGCCAGGCACCTTGCGTCTGGAGTGAATAGGCTGCGTCGGATGATTGGAGGATGTCTCACTTGCGAAAAAGGAAATAGAGTCTGCCAGGCTGGTGGGCGGAGAAAAACAACATCTTCCCAAGATTGGTGAAAAAGACATAACACAACTTGGCAATCAAGCCAAGGGATTTCGGAATCTAGCATTTAGACTTCAAGGGAGTCCACGCTCTTGGCAAGGCACATTGACCGGAATGCTGGTGCCTGTAGTGGCGCTTCTCTGGCCAAGGCCATCCTGCAGTGACAATGGGCGAAAAGGCAGGGTTTGTGAGACGTGCCTGTCAAGCCATGAGGATTGTTCATGAGTGCCTCTTACTCACTCCTGGGTTGATTCTCTAGGACTCTAGATTCTAGATTGATGAATTATTGCCGAAACACGCTGAAACGTCCAGCATTCCAGCCTCGTGACACTTCGATTGCCCGGATGCTGCTTGGAATGAGCCAAGTGGGCAGTCCTGTGGTGGAAAAATGCAAGGGCCCAAGGTGGCCAGCATTTTCAAGTTGGCTTCATCTGTCTGCAAGCTCTGAGCATGCAGTCCTGACAAATGCCAAACAAACTAAACCTGCCAGCTGGGCACGATGTGCAGAAGCTCCTGCGAAATGAAGTCAGGCTGTGATTTTAGAGTACAAGCCACAGAAAATAAAGAATGCAAAGCACTATCACTAGTCCTGCCCGTGCCATTGGCTTCGTGACCAACTTGGCAATGGAGACATGCATTTAGCCCAGCCTGTCCAGAACGAGTCCCACCCGTTATTCATTAATAACATGTTAATACTATGCCAAATTCAATCGTGGTCACTGAAAGATCAGGACCTCCATTGACTGACCACTACTTTTGACCCCGCGAAAACGCCTGACCCGAAAGCCGAAAGTACGCCTCCGGAGCGTACTGACCCACAGGGCAAGCTTCACACTCCCGGCGGCTGGGGACGGACACAAAGCCTCCAACGGCGACGCAAGCTGAAAGCGGGGGCGAAGGCTTGATACCGGGCTGAGCTGGCAAGTTTGTGCAGATACGGACTACATATGGACTACATACGTACTCTTTGTCATCAGGTTTCTTTCATTCATAGAGTCTAGTCTGTTGGTGCAAAACTTTAACAAAGGAAGCGCTCCCAATAAGCAACTGGCCCTGTTTGCACATGCTGATGCCAAATTATTGAAGATACAAAAGTGTTTGAGTCATTGAGGCAGCCACCGCATTGCGCAGCCCATTAATAGATTTATCAAAATGACATGGAAACAACACATGGTTCATATATGTATAATATAGTAACGTAACTTCTGAATTCTGAATGTACAAGTCGGTCTGTTGCTACCAGCTTTGCCTGGTGGACACACAGAACAGCTAGACCTAGGCGGTCAAACAAAACATGCCGTGAAACCAAACGTGCGAGTTCTTGCTTCTGCGCATCTGCGCATGAAGAAGGCATGCAACACACACAATTCTAAGCCTGTCCATCCAGTTTCTCTCGGGCCCACCATCTTTTAACAGCGTTGCCGTGGCCACACTTAGCTCGGAACAACCCGCTGGTGAAAGCGAAGTGGCCTGTTGAGGCACAGGGTGGAGGGTGACGGAAAGGGACAAACTGTGTATGTTGCAACTGATGTGTCCACAATTGACACTTCTCAAATCAAAGTCCATCCATGCTTGTCGAATATTGAGCTTAAGCTTTTGCTCATTGTGTGGCAGAATCATGCATACACTGGAGCTCACGCATGCTGGCATTGCCTGCATGCTGGAGATGCAAGTATGCCACAGTCCATGGCTACTAGTTTTTGCATGAAGCTCACGCACAAACCTTTCGCACATTGTGAAATAACAAACCTGTATAGACTTCATATTCTCTCATATAATATACTGTACCCTTCTCCGGGAGCTGAAAACATGGCCATAGAGTTTCCAAAGAAATTGTGTGTCATGCAAATTCAACGTTAAGCACACTGAAGCCGCCTGGAGGGCATTCAACACAGGTCCCCGTAGCATTGCCTGAATGCACAAATTCATCAATCAGAAAAGACTGCACTCACACACCGATAATTCTGGTGCATGCGTGCCAATAACGTGCACATTGAAGCACTGGACGTTGACGAAAAACCAGCAAGCAATGGCATTGGCATGTCGCTGCAACTTGTACATTCCACTAGCTGCATGTTCAAGATATGCATTCGACTTAGCTTGCAGCTCATCCCAGGAGGACATGAAATGCATGCCTCCAGGAGACAGAACAACTACACAAAATACATGTGTACCTTCTGTATAGTATCGCAGGGGGATGAGGAAAACTGCACGTGAGTAATATTATTGGTTTAGGCTTAGGCGGACGCTTCTATTTTGTGCACACCACATGACTGACGTGAATTGCCATCGCCTCGCCACTGTGCCCACAAGCGGATTGGCAAAGTGAACTGCCTGCGGTCTCCGGAGACCTACCACCTCCAGGGTCCTGCCTGTGAGTCTGGCATGCATGGTTTTCCGGAATCAACACCAATATGAGTATCGAACTATATAATATGAGCCAATTGATCACTCCCAGGTGATGTGAGTAAAGTCAATGTGCTCAAACCAACCTGCGCAAGGCATGCATTCCCTCCGCTGAGCAGTCTGATTGTATTGCGCCTTAGAAGCTGAGATTCGGGTCAAGCCAAGCAAAACACTCAGACTCCGGATGTTTACCCACAAAATGCCACAAGGACATCCAGGATGAGCCTGGCTTAGCTATCATCACTTGACCATATCACACTCAAGTGACAAGGCAAAAGGTGGTGCACATCGCCACCCCTAAGGCCCTAAGGATCCACTTGTCTAGGAACCTGTTGTCCGCATTTGCCGGACTAGAATATGCGCATCGAATCTGGGGAACTGGCTACTGTGCCATTGGGGCATGGCACGCAGCCAGCTCCACCAAAGCCATAACCTCGGGCATGAGAAGCAGCCTTGTAGCTTTGGTCAGCGGTCGTGCCAGAATCGTAGCCTGGACACATGTAAGTAAGGAATTACAAGATCTGCACTGTCCACCATTTTCATCTTTCGCAAGGCGAATCAGCTAGAGTGCAAGACCTATAAAAGTGCGAGCCAGGCAACCATTGGAGGCAGTTGTCCAGCACGGCCTGTCTGCCCAGCTGGGCATTGGGAAAAGTACTGGCACTTGCTGCACCTGAGGCAGTTGGTGCAACGGAAAGCCGCACAGGGGAGGAATCCTTTTTGGTATGTGGAGATGCGAATAGCATTCAATAGCTATGGATGAGCCGACTCTCAAGTATGTCCCTAGGGTAGCAAGCAACATACCTTGAATCGAACATCTTCGGCCTGCACGAATAATAGTGAGGCAACGGGCAAGTATAATATAGCCCCTCCCAGCAAGCAGGCGGGTTTTATAAGCATAGATTTACAGTAATATTAAAACATTGCAACAGGATTACAAAATTCAATCGGCGGGTTTAACAAGTGCAAACCACATGTCATGTTCACATGATGAAGCCACCATCACCTCCGTGAAGCTCGCATCAGTTTGGGCCGAGGCACCTCTGCAGGGTAGACGACCTTCGCATCACTGGACGCCTGCAACTGGACGCACTGGGTATCCGACGGCTCATGTCACGCGTGGATCCCTCAGGAAGTTGCAGAGGTATAAAGCTCCACATGAACCACGACGAGAACTTATACGGCCCCAGCAGCTGCATTGTTAAAAAGCAAATGTTGTGGAACAGGTGCAAGTGGCCTGAAGCTGCACTGCCACCACGCTGCCGGCACCTGGAGCTGTTACACCGTCGACTGGGAGGCTGGTGAGCAAATTGCTCGTGTGGTGCCACTACTCCGACAAGACCAGTTCCTGCATGGAGAAGAGAAAGCTCCATGCAAAGGGGACTTTGCATGGACACAACCGGTCGGGAGTGCAGCGGAATATTGCGCATCATTTCATGGGAAGCTCAGTGGCATCGAAATCAGTGTATATATATATATATATCACAATTTTGCGACAGTATAGTGTTCTTCACCCAATTTTGCAGTACAAAGGCACTTGGCTTCGCTTCGGATATGCTCTGCCGAGCCACTCCCCATTCTCTGCAGCACTGTTGTCACAGCATCCATTGCAGGATTCTCAGCCTCCACAATAGCCTCTGACCATCTGCAGCTAAGCGGTGTGTTGGGGGGGGCGTCCAAGCACGTCGGAATCTAAGAAAGTCCAAGCTCGTGAACTTCCAGTTAAAATGGTTTGGGCCGCATTGTGAAGTCTGTCCAAAGCCCTGAACTAACTCATGATATATTCAGCAACACCGCTTGCCACGACTTCCAATGTTCTCTAAAAGTGCTCCAGCTCCATTACTCTGAGTTCACGATTGCTTCCCTCCATTCAGGCCAAAAACATGTTATGACTGCTAAACGATTGGAAAAGCAAAAAGCAAGAGTGAGAGAGAGGTTGAAAGGAGAGTTGATGATCTTTAAACAAAAAGAAAAGGGATAAACAAACACGCACGCCCAGGAGATATAAAAGAGTCAAAGCAACAAGGTGGATATCTACTTTGGTCTACTTCCCGGAGTCGAAGCAACCTGCACCAAATGCGCTGCCACTGCATACCTTACCAATCGGTGAAACCAAGCCGAAGATGGAAACTAAGTCCACCACACTGGGGAGTTCGAATGAGCAAGCCAAAGTAAAGGGACATTCCTGTTGACAAAATTGTTCATCAGTGGTCAATTTATATAAACAGAATCGAATTTGCTGGACAATGAGCTTTGTAAGCGTCTGCCACTCTGTGCGACCTGGGCACGCAAGAATGGCATCAGGTGATGGCTTGTGCAAGAACCGTCGCTGGTAGTCCTTGAGAACATCGTGAATTTATTGAGCCACAATCATCAATCATGAATCGGTGATTCAACAGTCCTGCACGAACTGGCTATGATTTCTCACAGCCACGCTTGGCATAGAACTCTTCTGTGGAATTTGGCCTCAGCTCTTTCGCCAAATTAGGACCTAGGACACTTGTACCTGATGCGCTTTGTTCATTGGTCGTCGGTCATGCAAGTTGCCTTTTGTTGAGACGCTGGGGAAAACACACTCCCACTACGATTGTGCCAAGCATTGGCAAGCTTACAGGAAAACACAAAAAATATCCTTAAGTTCGACTACTTTAAGACTGGATGAAAGCAACACGGATTTGTGGCAAGAGTCGCTTGTGTCCCACCACCCAGTCCGCATCGCCACCTTGGCAAAACACATGTGAGATGAAAGCTTTCTCATGAATCTGGAGAAAGTCAGACTGGACCTGGTCCTCCAGGAATGAAGGGGCGGGAGAGTTCTTTCAGAAAAAAAGGCTTGCCAATCGGCGGGCATGTCGCCATGCATTGAGAACAGCGACCCTGAAATCACCCGGCCGCTTCTGCATGACAATGACCAGTCACACGCAAAGGTCCAAGCACGCACCGTGAGTGTGCATCATACAAAGGAAACCTTTGGGCAATGGCTTGGCTAAGAAATGCGCAGCAATGCTATTGGAGCAGTTTTTCGAGGACAATGATGAACAACTGGGTTGTCCAAACACCTCTTTCAGAACCCTCCAGGGGCCAGGCCATTGTACGGCCACCTATGTCCTATGTGTTCTACGTGAGGAATGTGGGTGCCACTAAAAAGGTACAGGTACACCATGATACAGTTTTTTGGAGATCAGGTTGTACAGTGAGCTGGCAAGTCACCCCGCATATTCACAATAATCCATCAAAACATTGAAAAGGGACGGGGGGTTTTGCATTGTTGGGGGGCGGAAGTATTTCTAGTCTTTTGAGACCTGAGAAGGGAGGAGTTGAAAGCCAAAGCATCCAGCCACCAACCATTCGCCCCGAGAGCCATCCATCGACCTACACTCTACACACCACATCTATCCACACCTACGTATCAGCTTTTCATCCATCCCATCCACCCACCCACCATCCATATCCAGCTAGCCACAATCCATCGACCTACCTGCAAGTGATGCCTCTACGGGGTGGACATGGTGGAATGGGCTGATGGTCGATTCCATGCTGGTCCAGTTTTGTGTGGTCGGTGGGTAGTAAAGAGATGTCAAACAGTATCACAGGGTTTCGATGTTGGTGTCTTTGTGATGCTGACGATGCACAGGTTTGCGCCTAGCATAGCTGATCGGCTGGTTGTGTGAATCGGCTCTAAACGTGGCAGCTCTTAGGCCCCCGCTGAGCAGGGACTGCACCTCCTCCACCGGACAGGTCACCAGAACAGCCTCCGAACACGGAGGTTGGTCAACGAAGTTGGAGCCAAACACTTCGACACTCCCGCCAAATGCACAATCCGTGGGATGGATTATACTAGGTGCCAATCATATGGGACTTCATGGCCAGTTTTGGAATGCACCTTTTACACACAGGATACGGACATATACGGACCTTGAGAGAGTGACAAATGCACTGAACACTATACAGGTGGCCTTAGCCTACACAAAGAACATGACATGACAATCCTGAACCAAAACATTACATTGTCCGACAATTCAGGATGTGATTTGCGATTCTATAGTATAGGCACAGGGATGAAGCTTGACAAGATCAGTTTTTGCTCGTGTTGAACCAACAAAGTACGACCTGCGGCAGGAAGTTCGCTGACTTGAAGGCTTGCAAGAACCTAGGCCATCAAGTGATGACTTGATTTGCGCGTTCAATGATGTTAAAGGACATGAGAAAATTCCATGGATATTGGAACCTGCTCATGCGATGTTATGTTCTTATTGGACATTAGAGGTTGAACACCTAGAACAATGATGCCAGTAGTTACTGTGGACAAAAGCCGTGGAGGTAATTACTCAAATTGCTTTCTCGCAAAAATGCCGTGTATGCTCTTGAGGTGGGGTGCAGGAGTGACATGCCCTTGCCTGGTGGAGGCAGCCACACTGGCACCTGAGCTAGTCGAATGAATATGTAAGCGAAGGCTGAGATTCAAATCACTTGACTCCCATCTAGCTTCTTACTCCTAGTAGCGATGCCAGGAGCCCCTAGTAGCGTCCCTGCTCCTAGTAGCAATGCCCTTTGTTCCTAGTGGCGTCCTTGCTCCTGTATAGTTAGATTCCAGGAATCGATTTTTCTACTTGAAGCAAAGTTGTCCCACCAAACGACATGTACATAAGCAGCGAACAAACGGTTTTATCTCGTTGGCAATATTCTGCGTAAGGCTTGCTCACGCTGTGAGCCGCAGCTGCGTCCTGAAATAAGGGGGTGTCAAACCCCAATTGCACGCCGGTCATTATGAGAGGCCGATATGGCGTCATTGAGTGTCACTACACACAGTCCACAGATTGCCACACCAAATTGGTACAAACTTGCTATCTCATTCCTTCGACACAAAATCAGCCTCACACTTCACAAACTTGCAGGAAACGAATTGTTGCTCTTCCAGTGGCCAGTACTTTGTAGTTTTGTTATTTGCCTTTGGTCTTCTTCGGCCCCATGACCTACTGGGAACTGGAAGGGCTCTTTAAATCTGTGGCGCCCACACCCTGTTTCTCGCAGCGCTGCGTGGCCAGCTCTGGGCACCACTGAGGACAGTGGCTCTGACACAGTTTGAGAGATCCAACATTCCTCCAACCTACTAGCAATGGCCTCCAACCTGGAAGCAATGGCCTCCAATGGATTTGGTGTAAACGCTCAGACCCATCCTTTTGTCCAAGAAGGATGTCACGTGATCTCTAACTTGTCCTTGCACACCAGTCCTTACTGGACGAGCGTGCAAATGTTGACACGCAACTGCAAGAAGCCGTTGTTCCATGCAATGTTCGGTTCTGGGCCAGGGGAAGAAACCTTCTTTGTTGGGTCACCAAGTTCTGTCACTTTCCATTGAATAGCCCGAGGTAGCCCGAGGTGTTCGACAATTTTTGCAGATTTAGGTGCCCAGGTCTTTGATTTGTGTGTAGGCATGTGTACGCTCTAGAGAAGCTCATGGAACCAAACAGTATAATGTGAGAACTTCATCACGTTTGACAAGGTGTATGGCAGTGTCGTCTTCCACTGAACTCATTTGAGGGCCTTCGCCCTTCTGAAAAGCGCGGGAGACCATTGGCCCCCACGAGTACAGGCGCGCCAATCTCCCCAACGGACTAAGCTTCTGAAGCCCGTTGAGATTAGGGACGTGGATTGCACAATGACTTTGGCTCACTGAAACTGCCAAACTTGGCTGATGGATCAAGAACCCCATCACGGCTCGAGGCCATAGGTGGTCCTTTTATTCCTCCCTTGGGAATTAAGATGCACAGCCAGCAAGATTTCGGACAATAGGTCCCTTTCTCTTGCGAGGCCAATTTGTGATGCAAAGCTGTTTGGTCGTAACTCAGGTGCGCCCCAAAGGTGCGAGCCGCAACCCGTGTGTTGACTTTTCCCGGTGCCAGTGACAAACCCCCGGAACCTCTACGTATCTCTGGGAAAACACATCCCCAATCAAAGTTTGTCAGGGTGGTCACGGTAGTCATACCCTCAAGCAATGCCTTTAAACATAATTGTTGACCTGTAATCCGAGTTCATGTCCAACTGCTGCAGCATCGCACTCGATGACCACTAAAAGTCAGTCTCTGCAGGGCAGCATTGGAGTCGGACACCTCGGTGCTTGTAGGTTTCCCTCGAGCGTAGCAGGAGGCACGGTGGTCTAGCAGCCAAACGCAGTCTAGGCTAACAGTCGCAAAGCAGTTGTATTATAATGTGCTTATGCTGCTAGCTTCTGCACATTGATGTGGCTTCAACGGTTACAAAAATCAACACCTCCGACGGAGGTCTATGAGTCTATGAGAGTCTATGATCTTATGAATCTTATGGCATTGATCTTGCAACTGCGCAACCACTCGTGGTAGGGCAGCAAGCACCCGTCATGTTCGCTGCGGCACACAGTGGAAAGGCCGAGCATTCCTGGACAGTGCGATCTGCTGCATGGTCCGTTAAATGCGGACTTTGGCAAGTATGGAGTGGCGTGCGAGGGCTTCTACACACATCTTAGGAGACATAAAAACCTAAGTTTCGCAAAAAATCTACAGTAGGAACCTAATCATTAGTGCGAGCATGTGCGAGCGCTTCTTCAAGGAAGCTCCCCCGCACCTGAGCTTCCTTGAAGAAGCGTGAGCTATCCTGCATCCTAGCTAGGAGCGAACTAGTCGCCCGTACTTAGTTAAGTATGCGCCTACCTAATTAAGTAAGGAGGCAGGGCCATGGGCTTTAAAAAAGAAGGTCAAGCATCTGCGCCCATGCTGTAGATCGGCTTTCTGACCTGAGACACTCACTGCCACCTAGGCGGATATCATCCAAACATCCAATTGAGAGGGCTTGTATGCGCTTGTTCAGCTGAGGGTCAGTGGTGTCAAAAGGCACAGCTAACCATGGGATGAACAGTGTCGATCCGGACTTTTGAAGCTTGTCCAAATGTATTGATTATGGCTGAAGGTTTCATGAATTCAGCTCAGCTCTGCCAGCTCTGCATCCCAGTCACTGGAGGCGGTGAACTGTTGCAGCAGCTTAGACTCACCTCGAAGGCGCACAGTGGGGACAATGGCACACACAATGCCAATTTATGTGCATATAAGAAGCTACTAGTAACAAAGGGCATCGCTACTATAGGAGCAAGGACGCTACTAGGGGCTCCTGGCATCGCTACTAGGAGCAAGAACGCTAATTACTAGGGGCTCCTGGCCTTACTACTAGTACAATATCGTATAGCCTCATACAGCCACACAGCCACCATGTTCAGTGGACCCTTGGCACCAAACCAAACATGGATACAAAGATGGAAGCTTGAGGCTTCCAAGAGGCCAGCTCATTGTTAGGGCAGCAGTTGCCCTCGATGATGCCTTCCTCTACGCACCTCAATGGTCAGCGCCCTGAAAAGCAACAGATGCACAATTTGCCGATTGAATTCCTTCAAGCATCTGCATCGGAACCGAGTTGCCGGACGATTAAGCGCTCAAAAAACGGCTTCGCATTGCTGGATGAAACGCTATATAACTATCCAGAATCTGCCCAGTTGTCAGAATCATTGATGAATCATTCACTTCAATATGTAATTTGTAGCTATTTGTAGCTACTTCACTCCAAGGAGCTGTGCGTAGGCTGAGCAGGTTCTGCCGTGGATCCCGATGACGACGGGCGCCTATGGTAGTTCCCCGTGAGTTCGGTCCGACAGCGTCTGCCGTCCGGTGGGCGGTACAAGATCCGAAGTGCCAAAACCATAGACTGTTCAGCACAGTATGTTCATCACACAGGAGTCTTGGATATTATATGTATTGCCTCCATGCTCCAGTTCGCGCCTCTGCCGTCCGGACAGCCTGGGCCAACAATTGCAGAAGCGAGAGGGTAGAGAAAGGCCCGAGAAAGGCCCAAAATGGTCCAACAGAATCTTCCCAAAGCTTTGGACTAGAACGAATTTCCCGTCAAATCCAGACGGTCCTCCCTGACTCTCAAGCAAAGCCACCACCTCGTAGGTCACTGGTCGCTCGTCGCAGGAGCGCGGACCAATCACTGCACCAAACGACTTGTGCTGCGCCGCCTTCCGGAAGGACCCCTTCCACATGGCCGCTAAGCCCATCTCTTCGCAGCCCTTGTTGTGAGTTGAATCTCTTCCGGCATCCAATGTAGTTACTGATGTTACTCATGCAAAGCGAAGCCTGCGTGCCAACATGTCATGAAAGCATCTTGAAACCTCCTGCAGGCTGCTTGCATCTGCACTTTCACTGATTTCTGCCACATCACCAGAAACATATTATCCTTTGATGTCCTTTGTGTGCCACCCGTCGCCGCCCATCCCTGCACATCTCACCCTGACAATGGACTTCTGATCGGACAGAATGCAGCTTCCGTCTGGCCACCAGCTGAACTCTGCACCTCAAAGAATGTTGGAACGGCAAGTGAATCATAGTGAACCGTCATTGCGAATCATCACGCACAATTCAATGTTATTGCACAGTGTTGCTATGATATAATCCCATCATGTGAATCTGAACCCAAACTTCTGAAAGGCCGTGCCAAAGTATGCATGCTAAGCTAAAAGCAGGGCATGCTACTCGCGCACCGCAGCTGACAATCTCGAGGGCTCGCCTCGCCGCAGCACATTTGTGCCAACAAAGAAGCATGGGATTTGTTGACAGCCAACCCAACAAACACAAGGTCAAAATGAACAAGCCACAAGCATTCTGACTCTTCAGCTTCTTGGCTGAAAGGTATAATTAAAGCGAACTTGAAGCCACGGTCATGATTGAGGAGCTCGGTCCAACCCGCTTTTTGTACACCAGTCCACGCCTCGTATGTCTTGGAACTTCCCACATTCTTCGGCGGGTGCACCAAAACGCCATGCCTAGGGCACAGGATAGTCAGCTGCCTTTGAGGTTTCGCTGGGTAGGGGAGAGTTGCAAAAGCACATGAATGCGTCAGGGTTTGGTACAGGACCTGGGCTTCTTGCCGTATATACGTCAAACAGAATCAAACAAGTCCAAATGCATCTCGGTGCTTTCTCCGGGGAGAGTCTGCACAACGATAGTATTGTACGATATTGTACGTACAATGCTCCACTGCCCGACACCCTTCCACTGCAAATCCTATTCTTGTTCAGCCTGGCCCTTGGGCAGGGCACTTGAAGCAGCCTTCCGGCAAAGCGGGGTCTGCCGCTAAAAGGCGCAAATCCAAGCCCTGCAAAGCAAGCACAGTCAGTAATCAGTGTGAAGAAAACAAGGCCCAGTTTTCCGCTCACCACCTCAATTGCTGTAGATGCTGTATATAGATTCATTTAGCGAGCATCGTGGAGAGCCGAGAGCGAACACCGCGCCGCTGCGGTGCTTCTCCATTTCAGCTTGATCCCGTGTAGTCTTACCAGCTTTCCTGCCATCTACTAAGCCCCACCAGCCTCCTCATATCCCTCAACCCAAGCCTCCTTGGGCGTCATCCACGCAGCCAGCGCCAAGCCGAAGGCCATGCCAGCGCCCAGTGCGGCCAGGGCACTTCGCCGCAGTAAGCTGGAAGCCCTGACGTGGGATGCGCCGGAGGCGTCGGCTGCGTTTCGCAGAATGCGTTCGTTCGCCAGTCGCTTCCGGACTCCTCTCCAAAAGGCCTGGTGACATTGGAGTTCCATGAAACTCATGGGGAAGGGAGAAGGGAGAAGGCACAAACTCACATGTCTAAGCAGTTGTGAACATTCGCATTCCATTGGAGCCAGTTGCAGTAAGAACCTACATCATGAGTAATTAGGGCTACCAGGGCCACAGAACGAAAGTTGCCCTCACTGTCAGTATCCAAGACAATCCAATGAAGGAACCTTGTTGCTTGATATGTTCCCCATTGTTTCCCTGTTTAGGAGGTCCAAGCCTAAGCCTAAGCTATACAGGTTATGGACCCACTCCGGGCCACGGGCAGCCTCTTCTCATCCCTCTCCCAACGCTCCAGATCCCACCTCGGCACCATGAACACGCGACTTGGCGAAAAACCCTTGCATGGTGTCTGAGGTGTCTATTGCCTGCTACTATAGTAGTCGGACTGGAGTTGGCCGCGGGCCCCACGCTGAAAAACGGTGAGAGTGAGCACTAACTCCGTCAGTGGACGCTTATCTGATGACTTAGACCAACTAGTTCAAGCAAACCGGCATGGAGTCGTCACAGCTGAGATGCTCAGGTACTTCTGAGAGCGTCTCCATGCCAAGCCTGACATATCGGCTGCAGGGATGTATTATTGGTGGGTGCACTAACGGTGGCTAAAACAAATGCTTGCAAAGAACCAAATGGACTAAATGATATACTTCAGGCAATAAAGTTTATGCTTGTTAGCCATGTTCAAACAACGCTGTAGGGTCAGCTGCGGATCGAATTACCAAGTCCAATTTTTATGGCAGGTGTGGTGCGGTCAATTATCACACCGTTTTAAACTTATATTAATAAAAAGCTTCCCGGTGTGAAAAATGACCGCCCACATGGCCGGATTCTAGGGGGTAAGGGTTGACATGAGTTTGTGCTTCAAGAAGCGCAACTGTTGTCTGGCCAGTGTAGTACGACAGTGTGCCGTTCTACTTCTCATGGTTCTACAATGTGCTACAAATGTTCTAAGTTAATCTACAATATACCTGTTGGGTCCTAGTGGTGGCATGTCTTTACCTTTATATAAAGCTAGAAAATGAACACCACATCGTATATGCATGTATATGCTCGATTATGCTCCTGAAATGCCATGCATTTCTGAATGGGAAACAATCAGATTTGATCTTTCCACGTCCAAACGAGGCACATGCCGCGCATGATCGCGGAGCGGAGAGGGTGAACTGAAAAATGGCAAAGGCCCGGCGCCATCAAAACGACATGAAAAGCACCTCGTGACATGAAGGAATCAGAACCTAAGTCCAATGTCGCAAATTTCGATGCGGCTCTGCGGCTTCTATGAGCTGCCTTTGGAGAAAGTAACACTTCTGTAAACAATTTTAATTAATAATGGATGAAGTTGGGATGATGAAGTATCAGTTCGAGACCCACTTGAGTGTAGAAAACTGATTGCTGAGAACATGCTATTGGATGAATCTGGCTGGAATCCATTCCACAATTGTTGTCCGAATTTTGACTCGCTCCACTCAACCCTGCAAATGGAAGGATAACTCATAGCTTTTAAGCTCTGATTCCACGGTCCGCAGCATTGGCATGGTCTTGAAAAGCTAGGTTGCCCTAAGCCAAGGAGTACAAGTGTATAATCCGCGGCTATGTTAAGTACAAGTATGTGAAAACACAACTCTTTTGATGGATGAAGAACTTGGTGCGCTCCAATCACCCGGCGCAAATGTCGACTTCGCTTCTACCCCCTGATGGGCAAAACACCTTATGATTCGATGCTATCATGTACAACAAGTAGTCGCAGGACAACAAATGGTTTGTGGATGGTGAGGCTTCTGGCGAGCGAGCAACCCAGAGCTTGTAAAGCCTAGAAACTGTACAAAGGACATGGTACAAGTTTCCAAGGAGGACTGTGCCAACTGACGAAATCCATCACTTGGTTGCTTTGTCAGAGACTGAAGGCCTTCTTAACTTGTGTTCGGTGTCTAACCTTGTTATTCGGCTAGGGATGCAGTGTGAAGATTCGCCTCTCTGCTCCCAGGCCGCAATTGGATTAAATGGACGCTCATAGAACGACAAGTCCCGTACCGTGTGAGTGCAAGCCTCCGACTCGTGTGGAGCCCCAACAGTGTGCATCTAAACAAAAGACCAATATTGAATTTTCTAAAAGAAAAGTGGACCACAATTGCTATTGGGTTGGGGGCCATCGCCATTAGGTTGGAGGCCATCGCTCTTAGGTTGGAGGCCATTAACTTTATTAACTTGGACATTGAAGCACATCTATCCAAGGAACTCATCTTACGCATCTTAGTTGTCCAAGTCTTTGAAGTCATCTTCAGTCTCTGGATTTGGGATCTCAGCTTTGGAACCCCATAGGCTCAAGCCTTCAACACACAAAAACTATCAAAAATGAATTTGAAGGCTTGATACATTGCTTTGGCATGCTTTGGCCATCTTTGGCCTATCAGCTCTCTTGGCTGTCCTGGCTACTTCCCTCAGATGAGCTCTCCTCACCCAGGTTGTTATAGGCATTGTACGACGGTCCTCCGCAAGGACAAAAGGTCAAATCCCCACACTTGTCAATCTGTGTGCGCTGGCTATCGAACCTTCCTGGCATTACCAGTAACAAGGACATCGCTACTAGTAGCAAAGGCATTACTACTAGTAGCAGCGTCTATATTTTTGGATATTTATCTGTTGCGGAAGGCCGCAAGAATGAAGGTGTGAACATTGTACCAGTCCTTTTTGGATGACGTTCAGGGATGCCGACCGCTGGTCCTGAAATCATGCATTCATCCAATTCATCCCATCAAATGTGTCGACAAATCGACCTCGCTCCAGAATGCAGAACGGAAGTGGGCCCTCCTCGTTCAGCAGCAAGCGCTCAAGCAAGGTTTCCCGGCCTCACGTTGCCACAGGAAGAGCAAGAGCATGTTTGGTGTCAAATGGTGCCAAAGGTATGGAACACGGCTCTCAAAGTTGATGCTCATGGCAACGTGGCACACGGGAAAGCACCGGCGTTTTGAGAACTGTGCGGCATACAGTTTTGGCAACTAATTGTATAACATGGAACAAACCCAAGTAAGGATGGAAATTGGTTCATGGAGGAGATGCTGAGACGGAATATGCCACTTGGCCAACACCTAGCTATCTTCCAGGTCTTGAAACATTCCATCATCGCGTCCAACATCCCCCCGAGGATTTTCCGACTTTGTTTACCAAAGTGTTTCAATACTCCGGCCAGTATCTAGCTCCATTTCTCAGTGTAGAATCTAGAATTGATTCAGTCACCGTAACGTATCACATGATGATGTTTTAAGTTAAGCTTTTCCCGGTGCATATGGAGTTGTTCAATATATTGTCATGACCTTCAAACATGCCAGCAGGTGCATGGCCTGCTGAGTATTCCATATGCTCCTCATCATCATCGTCCAAACCACCAACCCTCTCCTGCAAAGTTGAAGCTGGTTCCAAAACAGATGAATCATCTACAGAATCTATAGGAGCAATTCCATTGGTCTGAGAGGTGGTCATGACGCTTGACCAAACATGAGCATTATGGAGCTATCGAGTGAAGCTCAGCTGCTTCTCCTCAATCTCCTCCCGCACCACTGCGGAGGTATCAATGATAAGCGCGATGAGGATGTTGAGAACAACAAGGTTTACGATCACCTCGATGATTGTTGGGTGCCACGCACAGCGATTGGGCGATTGGGTGTCAAAGGTCCTTTCGACATATCTGCCATATGGGTTCAATGGCGGGTTGCTGCACCCTGGACCCTGGACTGGCGACGGTTTTTGCAACGAGGGTAAGCAGAACATATAGTGTTGGGTGTTCTGGTAAGCAGGTGGCAAACTACTTTGAACATGATTGAACGCAAGCATCGCTTCTAGTAACAAGTGCCTTACTAGTAGTAACAAGTTTGCATGGACACCATTGTGGGAAGCAAATGCACTTCGCCCTCGACGGCACCAAACTTCTGCTTGGGCCGGTCAAGAACTTGTCCACAGCTCAAGGCTCAAGGAGACATGGAGTCTACAACAATCAAAGGTATCTTCTCAAAGTACCACAGGCCCAAAAGACAACCACTCAATACAGGGCACCAACCTAGCCAAACATCTGAGGCTCGGCCCTTTTTGGATCAAACCAACTGCATCAACTGCCAAGTCACAAAGAATGAGACGAAGAAAATGCTTGCATAAGGTGTGGTGACCTGCATAAAGCCTCCCGCGAGAACGAACCAATTGTTGACCACCATGACGCTGAAGAGAGTGACTAGGCCTGGCAGGAAATGCCATGAAAGAGTCAGTCTGAGTCATTCTGCAGGAAAAAACGCCGGGCAATGCTTTTTAAGGGAGAGGTAGCTAGTACCTTACTTAAGCTACTAGTATGGACGCAGGATCGCACTATTTATTTGGTTCCTAGAATTTTCAGAAAACTTAACCTTCTGTATTATCTGTTTATCTCTTCTCCATTCTTCAAATGTTTTAATTCAAGCTCCAAAACAAAAATCATCGAACATCATCGAAAATCCTAATATGGTTACAGACTATCTTTCTTCAAATCGATCCATCCCAGCCTGAAGGGAAGTCGTCGAAGTTCAAAGGCCAATACCTAGACAACATCCGCCATGGTTTCGGGATGACTGAGAATCGAGAGCCATTGGTCAACGCACGAGTCGCGTCACAGCAAATCTTTGGCTCCAGAAGCTTGGCTTTAAATGCGCGATCTCGAACTCAAAGGGATTACATGGGATTACACCCCGCAGCTCAAACACTAACATGTTCATCTGCAATTCCTGCACCACCACCAAAACAAACCTTGGGCTGCCATGCTACTGGTCTTCAGCATAGCCACTGCCCTTCAGTTGCGCAGGCAGCATGCGCCCTCCAAACAGTTGCTCCTCAGTCCCGGAAGATGCTACGATACTTCTGGGCCAAACAGTGTCCAACGAAGAGGAGTACGGAGTGACACGATTCAAGTGGCTTACCGGCTCACCTCTACGGATCCGGAGTGAGGATTCGACTTGGTGGTAGAGATGAGCGGGACATGATAGGAGCCGGTTTGAGGTAGTCACTGGACAGATCTTACTTCATTCAGACCTGGCCGATGCTGAAGTTCAGTGCGTTGGTTGAACCACTGAGCAGGCAGGAACTTTCAGCTGAGAGTCTCCAATTGAGGTGAAAATGTAAAACCTCAATCAACGAGGCACACTGGTAGCTTGCCCTTGTTCCTAGTAGCGATGCCCTTGCTACTAGCGATGCCCTTGCTACTAATTAGTAGTAATGCCCTTGCTACATGTCAAAACTCGTGATCTGGAAATGATATGTCAAAACTCTTTCGGCAAGAAGCACCATCAACAGCAGGAGCCCCAACCGGTAGTACACGGGCAGCAGGCGTGCCAGGAGTGCCGTTAAATATCGAAATGGTTCGATGTACCACATGAGGCATATGGCACGGGCGATGTGTATCACCAAGACCTGGGAGCTTGACACACACTCTCTGCTCAAGAATTGGTGTCACATGTAGATCGGAAGGAACCGGGACCTTAAAAATATGTGCCAAAAAGCCCGGTTGCAATATTCTGATCAAGAATGATCAAGTGAATCAAGGGCAAAGAAGCCCCCATCTGCGGCGATTCTGCCAAGTAGCGGTTCGGACCAGCCAGTCTGGCGCATGGTCGCAAAAAATAGCTGCCAGCTGCATCGTCAAAAGAACTGAAATAGTCAACCCATCAAACCGGTGCCGGTAGGGCAAGCGGTTCCAGAACCTGTCATGCTTGCAAAGCTCGGAAGCAAAACAAAGAAGCATCTTCACTTGTTGGCAGTCCTGGTTTACAACCAATGTGGATGCACTCGCGTAATGTGAGGCGAGGGTGCGGCCCACGTGTTGCAGGAGTGTCTGAATATGATTGTATTACTGTACTCAAGCATGCTAGTCGCCCACACACAAAAGGCAAGCACTCGCGTCAGGCAAACAGTCGTAAAGCGCCTTGTCTATCAGTGGCGTAAGAAGCCAATTCTACAACTCAGTTTGGTACCATCTGCCTTTCCAAAAAAGAAGCAAGCCCAAAAAACATTCCGGATCCTGTCAGACTTAATTCTTTCCAATCGACCCAGCACAGATCTTTCAGCCCTGGCCCCCTTCTTTGCGCCTCGCTGGGCCTATCACCAGCATCTGAATCAGAATCTGCCCTGCAAAGAATACCGTCGTTGCCTGGCACGGGTGAGTCTCACAAGTGACACCTACGCCCCTTTACAATAGTAGCTTCTGGTTGTATACTAGTAGTAAGAATATGTAAGAATGCTCCTAGTAGCGATGCCAGGAGCCCCTAGTAGCGTCCTTGCAGCTTCTTGCTACTGTGCACATTTGCTTTTTCATTTGGTGTTGAATGCAGCTCTTTAGGCCGACAATAGTTTGACAACAGAAAGAGGATTCGATTAAGCTGCCAGTGGGGCCAAGCTTGTGGAGATAGGTTGTTCAAACATCATGGCACGTGACATCATGGGTCCAAATGGCTCACCAAGTCAATCACTACCAAATTCCTGACCCTTGAGCTGCTTTGCACAAGCCCGCCAATTAAAGAGATTCGATGACAACATCTGACAACCCCCTACAGTAGCTGCCAGGCTCCGCCGAGCCGCCATCAAAGACTTGAACCAAAAGCTCGGCGGTCGTAAGGGCGCGTCGCGGAACTTGCCACCCCAGCCTGGGGCGCAATATAACGAATGCGTTGGAATGAAATGCCTATTGCCTCTACCAAGCACATCAAAAGAGCATATATTCATATCATACTTACCCTATGAGTGCATTATTTTGGAACTGGACACCAGGTGCCAGCAGTTGCCACCACAAAGAACAGGTGTTCGTTGTTGACGGGAGAACTTCTTGCCCATCATATCCTCCATGGCTTGCGACCGTTTCCAAAGAAAAGGCAAGTGGCGCGGCGAGACAAAGACAATTGTCTGACCCAGTGCAAGCAACACTTCGATCAAAACTACCTCAAGCAGCGCGCAAATGCAAAACACTTTTTGTAAGACAAAAATTCTAGTCGGAACTCGGGATGTCTCAAACTTGAAGAGAAGAAGGCCTACATCCACATTCTGAGTTCTTGTGGGGGTTCTCGAAGCATAGGCGTGCATCTGCAGTTCAATTTCTTCAGAGGTATTCAAAGCAGGGGCAGTCTATGCACCATGTTTCCACCAGCTACGCAAAAATGTCAGAAATCAGGCGGCGTGGAAGCAAGAATGAACAAAACCCAACAAAAATATCCACTAGAGTCACTAGATGTCAAAACACCAAGTGGCAATGTCCATAATGGCGCGCCAAGAATATCGAGAGTCCGCCACCCTGCCACTGATCAATCAGTGTCTCTTTACAGGTACGATTCAACAAATGAAACAATTGTTTCATGTTGGGAGTTGCAACGAGTTGTTGCAAGTTGGTATCCCCAGCCTCACCCCACTCATGAAGAGGTGCACCAAGCCTTTGCCCAAGCGGCTGCGCGCCATACTGGGAACCGGCCGCATGGGGATGTAGATCCTGGGGTTGGAGAGCACCTCGAGCCGTGGCAAAATGGCTCACCGTTTCGTAGTGAACGTGGGGCAGGTAGGGAAGCGATTTCAGGTGCAAAAGACAGAACCAATAACAAACCTCTGACACAGTGTTGGCCATGCCACACCTACCCGAAAGACATTTCTTGACGAAGCAAATCCCGCCTCCACAACCATGCAGAACTCTTTTTGCTCGATGTAGCCATTGCCATCAGCGTCCATAGCTTTGAAGGTTCGGTGGGCCTGCTGTTGCACATACGCCTTGGGATCCAGTGGTTCCAGCATGTTGAAAACAACCCATCATTTAGTGGCATTTGGGCAAGGCACTTTGCCCTTCTCGAACATGAAGTGAAGGAAAATCCTGGGCAAACAATGCCAGCGTGCCGCTTCTGTACTGACAAAGGGCACAAACGACTTGAGCATAAACCACCACAAGTTATTCATTCTCAATGCTCTTTCATCTGCGAGGTGCACCAATCTCATCTCAGTCTATCACTGAAACTTTCCCGGCACAGCCCCTACGCCACCTCATGGTCCCTATTAACATTTGTCGCAAAGCATCTGGCCATAAGCAGTGTAGAAATCAACCCACCTCAGAGAAAGCTGCCACGCGGGCTGTGCACGATCCCAGCGGTCCATGTGTTAAGTAATCTAGGAACCATTACAGTATGTCATAGGTGCGAGCGCTATCCGTCCTAGCTAGGCAGGCGCCTACTTAATTAAGTAGGAGTGGGCAAAAACTCCTTAAGTTTTCCACCCAAATCTAGTCACCAAATCATTAGTGCGAGCGCTTCTTCAAGGAAGCTTCCCGCCAGGGCAGCGGGGGGAGTTTCCTTGAAGAAGCGCGAGCTATCCTGTATCCTAAGTAGTAGTAGCTACCTGTAGGTACGAGTCGCGGCCTACCCCCCGCGCGCGCGAAAAAGCTCCTACTAGCTAGCTACTAGCTATCCTGCTACCTACCTACCTACCTACCTCCTAGCGGCCTAAAGAAAACATATAAGTAGGAGTGAGTGGGCTAAAACACCGATCCCACGGGCCCATGAATCTCAGCCCGGCCTCTCCAGCGTGATCACCGGGACCCCTATTGCAGACTTCAAGGCTAAGACCTCAAAGGCCTGCTTGATCGAATACGTTTTCCTCAGCTGAAACAAGCCTAACAAAGTCCAAAAAATCAAAAAGCGCTCACGGGCCTAGGACATCCTAGGGCCTAGCATGATTCTCAACCCCCTCAAGCTTCACATCTCCCCCACATCTGTCTCATCATCCTCTCCCTTTTTGAGGGAAGCACACTGGTGCTCCAAGCAGAACTTCTACCACAGAGTGCTTCTGTCACAGTCAACACATATCAAGAGAATCTCTGAAGTGGCTTCATCCAAGCATCAAATCAAGAAACTTACACAATTGCCGCTTCAGTTGGTCCTATCAGAAGCAAACCGGTCCCCCGTCTGTCTTCCACACACTTCAATCAATTTCGTTTGACATCCCGTGGTGGAATCATCCCAGCTCTCGGCATGTCACTACAACTGCAAGGAGTTTGCTGGAATGTTGTGAGCCTTGTAGGCATCATACACCGCAGCGAGGAGCACGTTTTGCAGCAAGTAAAGGCAAATGACCAGGTACCTAGCGAATTTAACATAGATCATAGATAGATCCTGATCCTCCACACAACTGAATAGAATGTTGCAACTGGATGCAAGCTAGAAATGCTGGACCATTTTGTTAGTCTTGGGTGGCCCCATTCTTCTTTCTTGGGGACAACCTATCTAAATGAGCGCTCATCCTGTCATATCAAGCCAAGTGAAGTCAAGGGCACACGAAGAAGAAAAAGAAGGAGGCGCGGGTCTCAGTGTAGGACTGAATCATCACGTCGGGGAAGTTCGCAGTGGTAAAAAGGACCCACCTGGGCTGAGGCCTAACGCCGTGGATGCTGGAAGCCACTATCCGCCGACCCCGGCTGAAGAAAGGGGGAGCGCGCCAGGGATTACAGGTGTGGGAGTGCTCACCATGGATGCCGGTGCCTGTGAATCTCTTGTGGCAAGGTCTGTGCCGGTGCTCAGGTTCACAGGGTACGGATGGGCCAGAATGTACTAGTTTTTTTTTCTAGGGATCCAGACGCAACGTCTGGCCCCGAATGTGCGAGCAGTTGAGTCTGTTTTGGAGTAGTTTTTGGTGGAAATAGATTGTGTCGTTTACCAGGCCTCAAAACCCCTCAAACGCCTCAAACCCCTCAAACCCTTCAAACCCCTCAACCCTCCCTGGATTGGTACGTTCGCGGCACTCCGACACCGCAGCCTTTAGCCTGGCAGCGCCGGTGTACGTCATTCAAGTGCGACCATGGGAGGCTCGTTTTGGACCAGAATTAGATTGGGAAAAGCCGTGGCGGGACCAGGTGTTCGGGGCCAGGATGACCGAGACAAATGGAAGCAAACTTGTCTTTTTCTAGGTCTAGGGATTCAGAGGCGGCGTTTGGCACCCAAAGTGCGACCATGGGAGGCTCGTTTTGGATGTTCGGGGCCACGATGACCGAGACAAATGGAAACAAACTTCTTTTTTTCTAGGGATTCAGAGGCGGCGTTAGGCGCCCAAAGTGCGACCATGGGAGGCTCGTTTTGGAGAATTAGATTGGGAAAAGCCGTGGCGGGACATTCAGACGCGGCGTCTGGCACCCAAAGTGCGACCGTGGGAGGCTTGTTTTGGACCAGAATTAGATTGGGAAAAGCTGTGGCGGGACCAGGTGTTCGGGGCCAAGATGACCGAGACAAATGGACACAAACTTCTTTTTTT